CACAGGGTGCCACGAGCACGTCTCTGTGGTAAAGGTGATCCACGGAGACACCGGGACCAAGGCCTGGTTGCTCGCAAGAGGGCAAAGGCGCTCGCGTTGGCTTCGGAGGGAGACGGGCCGGCGTAGCTTGGCCACGCACTAGGACACTGTACCACCCTTCGGCCGAGCGTACGCAGAGGGGCAACAAAAGGTGAGCGTTCGCCTCGGGCGCGAGGCGCCGTCAGCGAAGTCCGACGAGCCCCGAGCGACGGGAGTCGACGGACGGAAAAGATTGCGTGGCTCACCGTCAGCTGTCCCGGAGAGTATCTGCCCGCACCTGACGCACCCGCGCAAAACCTCTCGGGAGACTCCGTGCCACAGTCGACATCCGCTACCGGATGGGAGGGGTTAAACGTCATTCCTCGCTCTCCCAGCGTGGCAGACAGCGGAGGAGGGGAGTCATGTCGGGACGTGAGAACGGTCGAAAAGGTGGCAAAGCCCACGCAAAGGCAGCGGGCTAGCCTCAATTGCCACAACACGCAGTGGCGTGGCTGTGTGGTAGAACACCCCATTGCCACGCAAACGACCTGTGTTCTATCTCCACTCAGACTCAGAATTCTCACGGTTACGCGTCTGCTTGTGAACACAGTGAAAAAGGACATCTTCTGCTTCGGAATTCAATGAAAGTAGCTTTCATGCTTTACAAACACACGCGTCCTGTATACATGCTTCACACTGCAACATGAAATATTGCAGTAATAATGCGCGGTACAAGCGCTTATTGCCAGCGGGTGTCAGAACATCGGTACCCTCTGTCCAGGCCCTCCTGTGACTCTATCTGACGTCATTGTTATTGTCTTGGATCTGTCCTGGGACCTGGATCTGTGTCAACGTGTGGACTCTGATCTGGATGTTGATCTGGGTCCGTGTTTTAGACTTAACATCCCAACAGATGCTCCAATAACAAGAATATACGAGGGACAATTGTAACATTTGCTAACAGTTGTGATGCTGACTGGTTGTGATGCTAACAGTTGTGATGCTAATAATAATGGCTTCGTGGTCTAAAGGCAGTCACCCACTACAAAAGGCGCACATGCTGTGCCTATTTCCGGAAGGCCACCTAGTGGGTGCATAGCAAGCTCGAAAATGTTTTATGCACCATGTGCTTGGGTGGTACAGGATGTTGAGGAAAAGGATGTCGCTACAGCGTTCCACTCTGAAGGCGAAACTTTAAAATCCCCCATTTTTTTTGTCCATGAGTTCTATAAGATTTGTATTTCGACAATTTAGCCATTCCTCCAGTATCTTGTAAGACGACGACGTCCATCGCCTCTTTTCCGTTCAAAAACTGTTGTCAGTTACCCCTTTTCCGGCAATATCTGCACAGTTCCACTGCCAAATTGTATACTGAAAACGTCGAGCCACGTAGAGGGCCCTTCCCCTGTGATTTTGATTACTTCGGTCGTAGTTGGCTGGCTGTATGGTTCAGTATTAGTTATAACCGGGCGTGCTCCTACAGACCTCAAATCTGTTTACGTGTCCTCCACCACCGTCAGTCGATTTGCTATGCTATCAATTCTTTGTCTTAGTTCTCCGAGCTGCAACTGCAATCCCGAGAATCATTGTTGCATTACCTTACTTGTATAGTTCTCCGCAAGCATCTTCTCGACTTCCTTTTCTAGAGGTATTGAGTGGCTTTCATTTTCTACGATAATATTTCCTCTGCTTTTCGTTTTTCTGCATGCGCTTCTGACCATTGTGACGACACATTAGTGGAAATTAGATTTGACGATTGTATGGGTCTACCCGACTCGCGCAGCTGATTTTGTCTGAGCTGATTGTTATCTCGTTTAGTTGTTTTATTTCGTCCCCCTGCATTCTGGTGGATGGGTGGCTGTAGCAATTTCTTGGCATGGTTTAGTTCTTGACCTAGATCAGACGCTTCTGCCACCGCCTCCTATTCCCGCACAGGAAAGTTTCTCCAGGTACCTTGCCCGCCCAGCTAACCGTTGTCCAGCTGCTACGCCTGCCTTGGGGACCCTCCTGGGACTCTACCTAAGGTGACGTCATTGTTCTTGTCTTGGATCTGTCCTGGGACCTGGATCTGTGTCGACGTGTGGACCCTGATCTGGATGTTGATCTGGGTCCGTGTTTTAGACTTACCATCCAAACAGATGCTCCAATAACAGGAATATACGAGGGACAATTGTAACATTTGCTAACAGTTGTGATGCTAACCGGCTTCCCACTTAGTGAAACCAGCCGCTGTTGATTGGTATGACAATAACCGGCTTTGGGCTTTGTGACATCTACCAACTACTGACAGGGGGAAACGTAACGTTAATCCTCTGACAAAAGAAAGAAAGGAAGCAGATAGGATAGAGCGTCCCCTCCCTTTTTCTTTTTTTTTTGTATACGTGGGCTGCGTCCACCACCTTTCTTCAGTATGAGTCAACAAGCCCAACAACACGTTCTATTAAGCTAACTACTTCTGGTTGGTGACAGTGCTCACTACTGGTTTGTGTGCCAATAACCAGCTTTGCACTTAGCAACCCTACTACCACTGGCTGTCATGACGATGACGCGACCTTGGTCTGGCAAACAAGGCAGAGGTTCATGGGAACATGAACGCTTAAAGAGGCAAAAAATCCTTAGTCAAGGTGTGTCGCTGGAAACAGTGACTCTTCAGGAAATTTTCATTTTGTTAATGGTGACATTGGTGTCGCACCAACCAGTCAAAACCAAGCCTTTTTTTCATTGGGCACGTTGTTGAATGATTGTTGCCTTTTTCTTACATATCTTTCCTGCCTGCGCGTGGTTTCCGGATCTGAGAAATTCGGGCTTATAGCCAGGTGACATGCCTAAAGGAGAAGCACTAGGACAGCTAATAGTATTGAAGTGATGTAGATGATTTATGGATTTATAAAATAAAGAACTGGATTTTGAGGTGCTCTTGAACTGAGACGTTCATATACATTGCTGAAAGGAATCATAATGGTAGTTGAAAAGAGAACGTTTTTGTCCTGGGGTGTTTTTGTTCTCTTCTTACGGCCTCGAAACGAAAAGAACATGTTAGCACTGCTTGCACAAAGTTCCTCAAGGCTCGGCCATAGCAGAGCTGGTGGACGCCTGGCTGGCCCTGGCTTGACATTACCATCTCACCTGTCTTTTTCTCTTATATGCTGTATGCAAGCTTATATGCAACAAAAATAACGTAAAAAGTTTTTAAATGGTGTAAACGTAATTATAATTAACTCTACGTAAGTGACGTCGTCATTCAACAGACAACTCCTTCAATACAAAGCATAGCCTCTGAAATCAGTAGCAAACGCCAAAATTGCCGATCTTAAAGGCCAAGTACAAAAACCTTTACCCCTACGTAGGCAGCGCCGCCGTAGATGACGGGTGTTTCGCGCTCATCCGGCTGGCAAGGGAAATCTAGGAGGCTCTGACTCATACATAGCAACAAGTAGTGTAGTTTTGAAGGCGCTTGCGTGGTCAGCGCATGCGATTTGGAAAGGAAACTATCATTTGCGGCGACCGCCGCCGCGCACAAATCCGCACTCGCTGCGGGTGAGCACCTGCCTCGGCTTCTAGTGACGGTCGTTAGACAGGGACGAAATTCTCTGGACTTGCTTGCAACGCGGCTCTACTTGGGCACTGCAAGACATTATCGGACCGTGGTAAAGCGCCACCCGCGTGCATCATCAAATTAGTTGACGTAGAGGGCTCGGCGAAACCTTGCGAATTATGTTTCCGTGTATGGAAAAGCGCTAAACGTGAAATATCGCTGGAGCAAGCGTTTCGTCGAGAGGTCTTGTCTTCCTTGTAGCGATGACTAACGTAGGCGTGCGCCTAGGAAGTAGGTGGGGGGTGCGCTTCCCCTCTGCTTCAGAAAACTCACCCCCCCCCCCCTCCTGTTCTTGCGGAACCGTGCAGTCGAGTTTTCCAATCCGACTGCAGCGCCAGAATACATAGCCTAGCGGATGAAAAAAGCAACATTGAGACGGGTTCGGTCAAATTGGAACGCAATGCGTGCGTCTCACGTTCTGCGTGAGTGGGTGGATTGTGGTTAGGACACACGCGTGGGACGCGCCATTGCGTCTATTTTCTGCGTATTCCTAACGGCCTATGTCGGCAACTTTGAGACGGGGCAGTGTGAGCACCGCAGCTCCCTCTGGACAGTGGACGGTGCCTATAATGACAAGGTACAGTTTTGAACGACATGAAAGAGGCGTGTATGAAAGAAGTTCCTGTACGAACGCCGTAGTGGAGGGCTCCGGAAATTTAGACCACTTGGGGTTCTTTAACGTGCACCCAAATCTGAGCACACGGGCCTACACCATTTCCGCTTCCATCGGAAATGCAGCCGCGCCGGGATTCGAACCCGCGGCCTGCGGGTCGACCAGCACGAGTACCTTAGCCACTAGACCACCGCGGCGAGGCGAGCCTCAATTACTGATGATGAGCTTATAACGATGTATCGCTCTGCAAGATGTACTTTCCAGTCTCTCAGGATGTACAGCAGTGACCTCCGGTCCTCCCAAATAAAATTATTTATCTATTTTTCGCTTCAGCATCCAGTGTTACGCGCACTGTTGGCCTTGTCAACTGCGCTCACCTCCTGTGTTCTTATAAACACAGGCAACTTCAGTGATCTCTATCACATTGCTCACGGCTTTACTTCTGTCGAAATGAATTGGCTCCACCGACATTCCATGTTCGACGATTTCTGGTTAATTAGAGCCTCCTCCATATTATCTGGAACTTCTGTAACGTGTGCGTGTCTGCGACTGTGTCTGTGATTGTATGTACTAGTAATGCGTTGATGTGCCTAATGTATGTACCATGCTATTACCCGGTGCCTTTATTAGCGAGCCAGCTGATCAACCAGACTGACATCTTCAGCATGCATCTAAAAATTTTGCTCTTTAATTCTCTCTCTCTATCGGACAGCCTGGGACATGCAGCGAACAGGTAGTCGAAGACAAAGGCTCATCGGCTCGTCAATGCATCGTTCAGTCATCGTAGTCGTCGTCATAGTGGCGTCTTCTGTGACGCCACCTGTTCTTGTGGCGAACATTTCCGCCTCCTCGCCTCGTTGCGCCTTCAGAAATGGGTTGGAGAACTTGTTCCGCAAACTGGCCCACGATGTTTCCTCGCGGTTCGTAGACGGACACGACGTAGTAGGTTCCCTTCGGGCCTCGAGCCACGCCCGTGCCTATGCGTCGACAGTCCTTCCAAACGAGCTGCGTGAAGTGACCCGTGGCGGCGCTGAAACCAGGGTTGTTGTAATTGTACTGTTTGATCTCGTCGTACCAGGACTTGACGAGCATGAGTCCTAGAAAGAAGGACAATGGTAAGAGGTTACTGAAGGAAACGCGATAGCAAGAAAAAAAAAGAGCAGTTGCTTCGCGCGGCTATGCCAGGATATGCGTATAGCGTTACTTGTTGTCTGGAATTAGTTTACTTCTAAACGGACTAGCGAACGAGCTCACTCTAGTCAAACGGGACGCGGCACTCCTGGAGCTTCTAGGCCTTCTTCGCCGCGCCAACTGTGCATCGTGTGACGTCACTGCTCCTCGCGCCTGCGCAGCACTGACCAGCGTAAGCCACGCGAAGCTGCTCAACCTAGACCAGTTGCAAAAAAAATAATCAAAGTAAATCATTTCTTACACCTAGAGAAGAAAGTGTTAACGCAAGGTAGTAAACGTGTCCAAAGGGGCCAATAATTCATGCTTTATATACTAACGTTCTTTACGAGTTTAGTTCTAAATGGTAACCGTACCCGTGATAGGAGCGCGCATGTTGCTGCTCCAGTACATGAAGAGGTTCTCTCCGTGTAACGGCCTCTTTCAGTGTTGCATCTTGTCCATTTTCGCCATCATCAAGGCCCAGGCTTGCGCGTAGCGATTCAGCTGCCGTAGATGCAGGACAGCAAGAAAAAGAAAAACAAACGTAACCAGCTCTATCAGTGTGTTGATTTCGTACGTGCTACAGTATACAGTCTGAATCACCGTTTTTTTTTCCACGAACCGTGCAGGAGATCAACGGTGTAATGATACCAAATTTAAAGTCATTCTGCGTGCGCAGTTCCTGTGCTCTAATCCAAACACGAACAGAAACTTGCTGCTATAACGCGAGGAATCAGCTTCGGGCGTCGTCGGCGTTTATGAGCGGTGCTCTATGAGACTTCACATGTAAGATGGCGTTCTCCATGACGTCAATGACTAATCAGTTTTCAGCACTAAGTATGAGACCTGAATCTATTTATTTACACCCGGACAAACTAGGACCTAAAGTATTCAGGCTGGAACAAATTTATTTAACCCTGCTTAGAGGGAAGAAAAAATAGGAGAGAGGGTGGTGGGAAGGAACTACTTGAAGCAGTTCCCCCTCTACCCTATCATTGCGCTTGTCCGTCTGTCGTGTTTGTTTCGCGCCAAAAGCTGCGTTAAGAATGAACCAACTCGCCCAGCAAGTCACTCTGCGGCTACCTTACCAGCTCATATACCAGGATGGCTCCCACAATGTCGGGCCTCGAGCTGCGCAAGGTAGCCTCCCACTGTTCCTCGCTAGAAGCTATGTGTTCCAGGAAAGGAGGAAGTGGCTGCATAGAGCAGCGCCACATAGGAGGCGCCGAACTTACAAGAGGGAAAAGGCTCACTTTTGAGCTTCAAGAAAGTTTTGCAGATAGCTCGGCAAACCTTTTGCTAATGGTACATTCGGCTGGGCGCTACCGCGTTGTACATGGACTTACGTGGAAAGATTTGTAAATAGACATAGGTAGCTAAAAAGGCGGGCAGACGCAAACAGATAGATAGATAGATAGATAGATAGATAGATATATAGATAGATAGATAGACAGACAGACAGACAGACAGACAGACAGATAGATAGATAGATAGATAGATAGATAGATAGATAGATAGATAGATAGATAGATAGATAGATAGATAGATAGATAGATAGATAGATTCATGGAACAAACGGTTCGCTTCCCTCGCGCTCACCTTTTCATCCTCTTTCAACGCGTGAACGCCGTGCATGCGTCTGTAGCGGTTTGTATGCTTCAGAACTTGTCGCTGCAGCTTCCGCATGGATCGCGTGAAGACGCCCTTGAAGTCCAACGGTTCGTAAGGACCACCTCCTCCTCCACTACCCATTCCATGTTTGCCGTTTGGTCCTCCAATGATTATCTGTTTCTGCGTGGTAAACAGAAAGCACCAGTAACGTGGTTGCACCGTTCTCCCGGCAGGAAAAAAAGGGGCCCGTATTCATAAAACTTTCGTACGTTAAATATTTTTTCGAACAAAACATTTCGACCAATCACGGTTCGGTACGAGCGGTACGATCATAAGCGAAGCCAGATTACCAGTGGCAAAACACACAAGCAAATGGGAAGTGTGATTCAGCCTCGGGCTATTTTCCGATTTGTAGCGACACTATACTTATACAAAAATGCTTCGTGGTCGGACGGCAGGAGCAGGTCACGTGATCACTACGTCACATCCGTGAGGGAAATGTACTGCTATTTCATTTTAGAGCGCAAGTGACGTTCGAATGCTGCGCGATATAAGAGAACATATTGGTCACGTGTCATCTACATCATCGGTGCGATTGGTGTGAGCTGGCGGTTGACATTGGGAGGCACTTAGTAAGAGAGGCACGTGAACTTTCTCTAGAGATTATATTGTCGTTGCGGTGTCTTATAGGAGAGTCTACGCGCAGACGTGCAAGCAAGGGGGAAGGGGTCAGGAGGGTGCCACATCTACTAGTCACAACAGTCACCGTCACCGCTAGACGGCTGAACATGTGTGCTTGAAACAAAATGTAGATATCTTTAGCGTCATTTCATAGTGTTTTGCTAAAAAAATGCACCACAGTCGCCTTCCCATGCATGCTTCGCGTCATATCTACTCTGATGGTACGAGGCATCTGCCGAATTCTTATACATGTGCTATCGAACATTATGCGTTATTGCTGACGGCCGCGTAAGCTCTGGAATAAACTGCATGATCCGTGTCCTAGGTGCGCGCAATCATAACAGAATGATCCGATAACACCGCGAAGCTTCCCAGGCGGTCTGGCACGGCATGCGCCGAGCGTTGATAATAGTTTTTTTTTTTACAAATATAAAGTCGACGAACGCGCGTGGTAATAGACAGTGATTGGGAGTTTTAGTGCTGGGTACCCAAGCGGCTCGCGTACGCAGGACGTTGGGGCGGCGGTATTGCGCATGCGCGAAACCCCAAACCGATGCGTCGCAAGATCGCTGGGGCGATGGGGCCATGCGTCCGCGCGGTCCACCGTCGCAAGAACTCACGGTATCCGCACTGCGGATACTCTAGCCATCTAGTTAAAATAAGCCAAAGTGCGAGCACTTATAGGGATTAGACGGTTTCAGCCAGATTTCCAAAGCTAGAATGGCCTGGAACATAGAAACCAAAAAACATATGCCAGCCCCCCCCCCCCCCCCCCGCCCAGCTGAATAGGTGGCGCCATCTAGCGCGGCCATAGTGAAACAGAAAACCAAAACTTTGTTATTGCAGAAACATTGTGCATTGTACATCTGGTGCAAACACTGTGCAGCGACAATATTACAGATGGGTAACCTTCTTATTCATTTTCACCTCAAAAACATTACGCGTAAGCTAACATGTTCATGACTGCGGTTGCAAGAAGTGTCACAAAATGTCGACACGATCGTTACAGTGACCTTGTATTTTTTACTTTTTTGCGTATACCAGATTACTGTACACAATAAAAAAAGTGTCCTGATCACTATGTATGTTTAATTTGACATTTTATATTATAAAAATACCTAAATAATACTTACGCGACAAGACGCTATGGCTCAGCGAGCACGTGTGAACTTCGTGCGCCTTGCGTTTGCGTTTGCGTGCGTGCCACCGTGGCGCCAACTAAAAGGCATTAGGGAGTTTTAGTGCTGGGTAAGCAGGCGGCTTGCGTACGTAGGACGATGGGGCGGCGGTATTGCGCATGCGCGAAGCCCCAAACAGATGCGTCGCAAGATCGCTGGGGCGATGCGTCTGTGCGCCCATAAAACAACGCTGCCACCACTGGCCACCTAGCGGAGATAAGCTGCACCGGCGCACATGCTGGCGCATCATGTTACCTTCACGGCGAGCAAAGCCGAGGCAGGCCAGATCAACCACTTTGACATTTAGGTTTAAGCGCAAATATTATAGTGGCTAGCCACTATACAAATAGCATAACACAAAGGCGCGAAATCTCAGACAGTATGGATCGGCCGCCTTGTAAGGTCCACCTTGGCAAGAACTCACAGTATCCGCACTGCGGATACTCTAGCCGTCGAGTTAAAATAAGCCAAAGTGCGAGCACTTATAGCGATTACACGGTTTCAGCCAGATTACTAAAGCTAGAATGGCCTGGAACATAGAAACTAAATATATGCCAGCCCCGACCAGCTGAATAGGTGGCGCCATCTAGCGCAGCTATATTGAAACAGACATACACAACATTGTTATTGCAGAAACGTTGTGCATTGTACATCTGATGCGAAAACTGTGCAGCGACAATATTACAAATGAGTAACGTTTTTATTTGTCTTCATCTCAAAAACATTACGCGTAAGCTAACAAGTTCATGACTGTGGTTGCACGAAGTGTCACAAGATGTCGACACTGTCATTGTAGTAACCTTGTATTTTTCACTTTTTTCGTATGCCACGATACTGTACACGATAAAAAAGTGTCCTGATCACTATGTATGTTTAATTTGACATTTTATATTATAAAAATACTTAAATAATACTTACGCGACAAGACGCTATGGCTCAGCGAGCACGTGTGAACTTTGTGCGGCTTGCGTTTGCGTGCGTGCCACCGTGGCGCCAACTAAAAGGCATTCCGGTTGGGTATGGGTTGGGCACGCAACGCCGCGCGCTCCCAAGCCCGCAAGGCTCCAAGAGAATGCGTACCCAGCACTAAAACAACTAAAACTCCCTATTAGCTGAGTGGCTAGCCGAGGGGCCAGCAAAGCGCAAGACAAAAAAAAAAAAAAGAAGAAGAAGCGAATGCTCCGCTTGTTTCAGCGCAGAGCTGAGTAAAGCCTGTAGAGGCTTTAGAGCGGAGCAAAGGAGCGGAGCGCAATGTCGCGCCACCTGTTGAACAAGGTTGAAGCTACTGTCTGTCCAACCAGCAGAGCCTTTGTCTGGAGAACGCTCTCACACTGGTCCGCTATGCACGCTCCGCTGAGGTAGAATGCTGAGGGAACGAAATGAGCGAACGAGCGGCGCTCTCCGTAAAATCGCTGGCTCGCTCAGCGTGCCGCGCATGCTCAGTTTGCGTGT